GGCTTTTTTCTTTTTGCTTATGTGGTGCTGAGGAATCGAACCCAGGGCCTCATGCATGCAAGGCAAGCGCTCTACCACTGAGCCACCTTCCCAGCCCCACTTCCAGCTTTTTTTGAGTAGTTTATTGGAGATAAAAATCTCACAGATTGGGCTGGGAAGGTGGCTCGGTAGAGTGTTTGTCCTGGGTTTGATTCTTCAGCACCACATAAGCAGAAAAAGCTGGAAGTGGCGCTGTGGCTCAAGTGGTAGAACTCTAGCTTGAGCTGAAGAGCTGAGGGACAGTTCAGGCCCCATGACTGACAAAAAAACAAAAAACAGATTTTGCAGCCTGGTTTACCTTCAAATTGTGATCCTCAGATCTCAGTCTATGAGTACCTAGGATCACAGGTGGGAGGCATTGCTGCCTTGGCAGGTTTAAGACTTTTTTTTTGGTACATAATCCACATTGGCTAAAGCTCTGTCAGACCTGCATTAATTTTGTAGTTGTGAGATTTAACTGCATGAGAGCTACCTATATAGAGAAAGACCACTGATTTTAGTGAGTTAACTTTATAACAAGGCACTAAGTTCTGTCAGTTCTAATAAGTGCTATTTAGGTCCTATTAAATTTTCTAGGGAGTTTAAGGCAATACTTAATAACTGACGGCTTGTAGCTGGACCTGGGCCTATACCTGAGCTCTTCAGCTCAAGGCAAGCACTCTACCACTTGAACCACAGCGCCACTTCTGGTTTTCTGGTGCCCAGGCTGTCTTTGAAACGTGAGCCTGAGGTTTTAGGCAGCCACTAGGGTGCTAGAATATATACCAAGATTTTATTTGTAAGTTAGGCACAATAAGATCAACAAAAGTTATAATAAAAGAATATGAAGGAAGTGGCGCTGTGGCTCAAGCGGTAGAGTGCTTGCCTTGAGCACAGGGACACCGCCCAACCCAGAGTTCAAGCCCCACGACCAACTAACTAACTAAATAAATAAATAAAAGAATATGAATATTGTTTTATCTCCCATAGTGTCACATTGTACTATACATTTGCTGATAGCAGTTACAATATTTTTCAATCTAAGAGGGTCATGTTTTGCACACCATTCTGGACTTTCCATCTTTAACTAGGATGCCTTGATTTAGATAACCTTACCTGGTACATACGAGGATTTGCCTGACTGAGACAAGATTGTTTCTTGTTCATATGACCACAAACATTGTTTCAGGAACACCATCAAAAATAGTACTGTGTGTATTTATGCAAGTATATCTGATCAATGAATATCTACAGGTGGGAATCGTGCCTTTAAAATAATAAGAGTTGTGTCTGTTTCTAGGACCATTATCAGTAGTTGTGAGTGCCTGCTCACTTGTAGGCATCATCAAACTTAACCTATGCCAACCTCTAGGGACCAGATGTTTCCCTTCACAAATCTGTGTTTAATTGCAGTAGGTTTTGTGCTCTTTTCAGATATTTATTGACCACTTCAAATATTGTGCAAATGTTTTGGCTGCTCACTTTCTTTATAGAAAATTATCTCTATATAGATTAACTGCTTTAAACTGCAAACATAACATAGATGAGCCATTTTCAATGACCACCTGTCCTGTTGCATTTGAACCTCACCTGCTCCCTATATCCACTCTGCCACTTCATAATTTTTTTCTATATTTATCTCTCAAAGATAACTTTAAAGCAAAAATACTACCATTATCACACTTCAAATTGTTAGCTGGGTGCCAGTGGCTCACGCCTGCAATCCTAGCTACTCAGGAGGCTGAGATCTGAGGATCGCAGTTCAAAGCCAGCCTGGGCAAGAAAGACTCATCACCAGTTAACCACCAGAAAACCAGAAGTGGTGCTGTGGATCTGGTGTCAGAGTGTTCCCTTGAGCTGAAGAGCTCTGGGATAGTGCCCAGGCCAAGTACAAGCCTCACAACCAACAACAACAAAAAAATTATCA